TAAGGTTGTTGATGAAGGCCCTCAGCGACATCTGCACTGCAGAAATAATCCAGATTGACACTACTTTAACTGCCGTGGTTTAGTGCTATGGGATTATAGCAGGGGTAGTCAACCTTTCCCCTTTAAGGGCCAAGGGACTTCAGCTCCCAGAATCCCAGGAGCTATTGGCCAACATGGGACTATTGGCCAACATGGCTGAGGCTTCTGGGAGCTGAAGTCCCTCGGCCCTTAAAGGGGAAAGGTTGCCTACCCCTGGATTACAGGAACTGTAGCTTTGTGAGGCATTTAGCCTTTTCTATCAAAGAGCTCTGCTACCACAACAAACTACAGTTCCTGGAATTCCATAGCAATGAGCCATGGCAGTTAAAGTGGTCTCAAACTGGATTATTTCCACAGTGTGGATGCAGCCCTTGTCTCAGTCCCAGCACCCCCAGAGGCACATTTTAGTGGGTGCACAAGAGAGGGTTTCCTTAGTGGCTTTTATCAGCTTCAGAAACTCTCTTATCAGAGGATGTTGTACATTTCTCTTTCCTGTTTGTTCTTTCACAGGAGGCAAAGATTTGTATATTCATGTGAGCTTTCTGCAACTGGGCAATTGCTGATAAAGGAGCTATTCACAATGTAGATCCCCCCTTTTTGTGTGTTTGATAGTGCCCTTTAATTGCTTAAAACCCTGTCATAATGCCCATTGCCACTCCCAGTTGTGGTAGGCCCATTGAATCAATTGCTGAATGGCAAGTTAATTTTTTTGTAAGTCCCATTGCTTCAATGAGTCAATTCTTGTTGGGACTAACAATTGAATTTAGAGTACATGTTTAATCTAATTGTCTTCTAATTTGTTTGTGTTTTAATAATAAATTGTGAGCTTCCTTGAGTTGCACTTTTGGGAGGAAGGTGAGATATCTGCTTTACAAACAAATACCTTGAAGATACATGATTTCATAAGGTTGGGTAATCCCTTCACTGACAGAGAACACAACTATCACATTCATAGTCACTTTGACCAGTTTGTCACATGCTCGCTATCCCCCTGGGGTCCATCCACACTATGAATTATAGTGTAATTATTCTACTTTAACAGTCATGGTTCCATTTTGTGGAATCTTGAGCTTTGTAGTTTGGTGAGATTTTGGCTGGGAATTCCAAATGGTTGTTGTGTGTGTTCAAGTAGTTTCCGTCTTATGACGACCCTACAGTAAACCTATTACAGAGTTTTCTTGGCAAGATTTGTTCATTGGAAGGTTTGCCATTGTCCTCCTCTGATGCTGAGAGAGTGTGACTTGAGTTTCCATGGCTGAATGGGGATTCAAAGTCTACTCTCCAGGGTCAAACACACCAAACCATTACACCACACCAGCCCTCCCCTCTCTAAATTGCCAATCCCAGGATTCTTTGGGATGTTGCCATGACAGTTAAAGAGGAATACAGTATTACATCTGCATATTGTGAATGGACCCATGGTCATGAACTTCTTTGTACATCCATGGGTGGTTCCTTAAATGCTAGATGTTTATTCTACCACCAGGGCCATATCTGAAGCCTTACTAGCTTGAAAGAAACCTGCCCAAGCTTGCGCTCAACTGGAAGCATCTTTGAGAATCCAAGTGCTCTTCCACAGAGTTGGACTTCATGGGGAAAATAAATCAAGAATGAATTTCCTGTGGTGGCAGCTTTATTTTGTCGAAGTTGGTTGGTAACCCACCACCCAACACATGTTATATACCATCAGTCTACATTTAAATATAGGATAGATATTATCATACAGTTTTTGGACTGACTGTTGTTGGTTTTTTTCATTTTGTAGAATAGATATATTTGAAGTGGCAGGAAAAATTGGCAGAAAATATATTGCACAGTTAGGCTGCTGGGAAGTAGGAAATGTCACTTAGACTGCTCTTCTGGTAGATTGCTGCTGTGGCCCCTGACCCACTGTAGCTTGAGGAAGCAAAAATGAAAATTACAGCACTGGAACCTATTAAAATTGAAGCAATATCATTTTTTAAAAATTGAGTGTTCCATTTAGAAATGGTTTTTATCAGAATAGAGGAAGGGAAAAAATGAACAATGGCATTGGCTAAATCATTGTAATGCCTCCTTTGCTTCCTTTGTACTACTTAACCAGGAATAAATTAGCACAGAATTGGCAGCAGTTGGAAATAAAGTTTTAACATCCCAAATAAATGCTATAGTGATTGATAAGTAGTGGTAGATTTAAATGAGGCTTTTAGCAATAAAAAATGCTCCTAACACATTGGTACTTAATTATCAGTAGTAATGGAGAAGCTACTTTGAGTTCAGTGCATAATAGATGTAATAGTTTTCAGGAAGACATGACAGGAGTTTTGGCTTGACATCACCATCTACAGTTGCCTTCCATAAGGGTTGGTTTGCACAGCTTGTAATTTACACCAGCAAAGTTATAACCCACTAAGCGACTGGAAAGATCTCCTTGGAGCTTTGAAAAGTTCCTTGAAAACAAAACAAAAAACAGCTCTCAGAATTTCCCACCCATCACTGATTATGCTGGCAGAGGATTGTGGGAGTTGTCTTCCCTAAAAGTAACTTTTCTAAGCTCTGCTAAAAAGGGAAGCTGGTTGGCTCTAGTCATATGCCATGCAGGACTCATTTATTTGTATAGGTTTGCTTCCCTTTATTAATTTTGGCTTTAATCCTGAATTGGTTTTTGCATATGCATGTTTCAAACCTATATGCACAGCATTGCCATGATGCTTAGTAATGATGTTGACAAAAATCTGTGATCAGTAAATGGCATAAGCATGTATCATTTAGGTTACTAGGTCAGGGCTATCTCAGGCCCCGAGTAATAGGAACAAACCCTTGTGATGTCATAGGAGGTGGACTTTGGTGATGTTACAAAGATGATGCTATTACTTATGATATTATTCATTTATATCCCACACTTTCCACAATAATGGGATTGAGGAGAGCATAGGTAAAGGTAAAGGTAAAGGTAAAGGTAAAGGTAGTCCCTCAACCTGAATGTCTAGTTGTAACCGACATTAGGGGACTGTGCTCATCTCCATTACTAAGCCAACTTTGTTACTAAGACTACTCTGTGATCATGTGGCCAGCATGACTGCACTGAATACTGTTACCTTCCCACTGAAGTGGTACCTATTTATCTATTTGCATTTGCATGTTTTTGAACTGCTAGGTTGGCAGAAGTTGGGACTAGTGGCAGGTACTCATTCTATCATGTGGCATTTGTGTCTCAAACTCAAACAACCTTCTCAGCATACGATCATCAGAATTGGCATCTTAACCACTAAGCCACCACATCCCATACTCATGGTTAAAACTAGTACCAATTGTAACCATATGAAAAGTGTGTGTAATGAAAGAATCTATGGAGTTTTATTGTTCATTAAAGTTAGTTAAAAGATGGAATATAAAACATCAACAAAAGAGCACACCTCGCAGTCAATTTATGAAAAAAGAAAGTCTTCACCTGCTGGTGGAAGGAGAGCAAGGAGTGAGCCATCCTAGTCTCCCTAGAGAGGGAGTTCTAAAGTCTGGGAGAAGCCACAGAGAAGACCCTCTTCCACATTCCCACCAAATTATGCTAGGAAGATGGTAGAACAGTGAGAAGGGCCTCTCCTGAAGATCTAAGTCAGGGGTAGGCAACCTTTCCCCTTTAAGGGCCGAGGG